AGGGTCTGTAATTGCTTTCAGGTAAATCAGGATAAAAGTTTTTCGTACTGCTATTTTTATGTTTCAAAAATTTAAAAATATTTACTAAATCTAATGTCATAGCCAATGAGAAAAGGAAATGAGGCAAACACAAAATTCCCTTTCATTTAGAAGCAAGCATGAGCACATATAGAAATTCAGTGTTTATATAAGCCAGACAGGGCCCCTGCTCCCTCTCCTCAACTCTTAAGTGTCCTTGGATGGTAAAATAGAGATGCACCATTATCTGTGAGCACCTTGGGAAGCTGCAGGATCAGGTAGAAAGTGCCATCCACTCACTGGTTAGAGGACTGGACACCTATCCAATTCAGCCAGCCCAGTGACTCAACCTTGAGCTGTGGCTTCAGGTAAGAACCTAGACAGTCTCAGGTGTAGCTCCCTGTATTTTTATTTTTCTATTTGATGAACTAAATGTGGAAGTGCAAGAAAGACCTGGAACATGTGTGCTGGTGCAGAACAGACTTTGTCCTTCAAAGGGAGAGCAGCAGTTTCTACAAGATGGATGAAGTACATCCTCTAACATTGACAAGGGGCTTAGAATTCAGAACACTGATTGGACATCTACAGCTTCCTGCAGCACTTACACTGAATGATCCTGTGGTGTGCTGCTTTTGACCTTCATGGAGGATCACATCTAACATGGTCTTTGGGAAACAGTCATGTATTAGTGGAGAAACATGCTAGGTCATGGTCGGTGGCCCAGGGTAAAAGAAGTCAGAATGACGTTATTTGGACAGCATCCCACACCCTGCTTAACTGAAAACAAAAACAAAACTCAAGATGACACTTGTTATACATTCTAGTATTTTCAGAGCAGAAGTGGAAAAAGGGGCATCAACCCTTCGGATATCTGCTCTGAGTCTCATTCTGGCAAGAGCAGAGGTACTAAAGACTTCCTTCTTCTGCCTAACAATTTCATCGCTTGGAAGAAGGAGAAGATAGGAAAATGGCTGTTCTGAGTGAATTCTCATTGTGCAAAGAAACGGACTGGTAATGTGTACATGATGACTATCTTAGGAGAGGTGTGTGTGTGTTATCCTGGCCTCCCTCCCAGAACTCCCAAAGCTCTTCGTTTAGGTCTTTTGTTACTTCTTCTTACAATTTTGTCACTTACAGATAATAAACTCTTGTCTCTTCACAGGAGTGTCCCTTGAGAACTGAGACCACACCATGTTATCTTTGTGTTTTCTGACGTCTGGTGTAGTATCTTTTAAATGCAGAAAATCAAACCTCATGAATGGAATATCAGGAGCATAGTGACTTGTGTAATTTCAGAATAATATGACAGTATTCTTAAAAATATTTAAAAGGTGTTTCATTGTAGAAAACTGGAAATATTCTGAAACATAAATGAGAAAATAGGAACTTTTTATAATGCTCTCCCACATAGTTGAGTATTTTTAAGTAGTTTGTCCTTATCTTTGATACTTAAATATTGCCAGGCATCAGTGGCTCATGCCTGTGAGCCTAGCTACTCAGGAGGCAAAGATCAGGACAATCAGTTTGAAGTCAACCCAAGCAAATAGTATGTGAGACCCTATCTTGAAAAAAAAAAAATCATAAAAAAAAAGGGCTGGTGGAGTGGCTCAAAGTGTAGGCCCTGAGTTCAAACCCCAGTACCGTTAAAAAAAATTGATTTTTCACCTTATATCCTGAATACTTTTCATGTTATGCAAGGTTGTCTTTTTAAAAGTTACTTTTAACATCCCCTTGCATGTTTAATTAATCACTGTAATTAAAAAAAGTAAAACATATTTCCACTGGCTGCAAGTTTGCAGAATCTGGTGTGTCTGAGAAATCAGAAAGGAACTATTTCAGCCTGTAATAGAGGGATGGGCAGGATGGGAGATATGGGAGCCCCGGGTTGTTCCTTGGGATCTGGGTGTTATCCCATCTGCTGTGCTACAACTAGACAGTGAGCTGGTGGCATGGAGTGAGAAGCCAGGTCTGAGAGGGAGAGTTAAAGCTTAGAGAGAATGCTCAACCTAGAAAAGAGCAGGGCTGAGGAGTCACATTCCCGTGTTGTAAGAATGACTGGCTTACTCTGTGGTACCCCAGTTGGCAGAAATGAAGCTGATGGATGAAAATGAAGACAACACAATTTTGACTGGGTAAACAGATTTGAGAGCTGTTCTGAAAAGATCCAGGATGTTCTGTGAAGTACAGAGTGTCGCCACTGGAGGTGTTAACGCAGGGCTGGTGGCTTCAGGGATATCAGCAGGTAGGAGATACCTGTAGTCTTATTTATGACTTGTGTCTTGCGTGAACCATAGAATGGCCTAGATCAAATCTTTGCCTCAGTCACATGCTTTGGAAAAATAAATAGCAGTAGAGTATGTGTTTAATCCAAGCCCCCTGTTTTCAACAGAGCATCTCAGAGAGACCTGCCAGTACTTGCACTTCTTGTGTCCACTCACGTGGTCTGGCAAGGCCTGTAGCTCCCTCCTCAGCTCTCAACTTCTTTGACTCTTAAAAGTCGTTCCCAGTCTGAGTGACAATGCTCACCCTGAGGGGGCTTGCCTGCACTGGCAGCAGTGATTTGTGCTTTGGCTTACAGTGAGTCCCACATTCAAGATCCCTGTTATTCCTGGCAGTATGAGGCCTGAAATTCTGAACATCCACCAGCAGTCTGCCCTTCCTGTCCCAGCAGAGCATGTCTGGGGCTTGGGCTTTAAGAGCTCACCGAGGCTGAAGAATAATAAAATCCTCCCTCTAGTGGCCAGAGTTCAAATACCTGTTTGTCCTACAGAGACCCACAGCACGTGCATGGGAGACGCTGTGGAGCCATTTCACAGGATTGAAATTCCATAGCTGTGCAGTTGATCCCACCCAAAGGGCCGAGCAGGCAGCACCTCCCAGCTGTGCCAAGAACCCATGTGCCGTGTCCCTGGGGTGCACGTGACCACCAGCCTGTTCCCAGTCCTGGCTGAGGGTGCTTGTCTCATCATGATGCTATTTGAGGGGAAGAAACTGCCTGGTTTCCCTTAAGCCCTGAGCTCTCCACCCTTCCTCACCTACTGGACCTCTGAGGCATTTTGTGGAGAAGGGGTGTGTGTGTGTTGGTGACTTTTGTACCTCCTTTGTGAATATCCTAGTGGAATGAGCCTATTATCAGTTAGGTGGTAACATTTATCTAGCCACAGTGGGCTGTATATGTGTGAGGGCATCACCTTTCTATCAAATTTTGATTCAGCTTTTGTTAGAGGTGGAATTTTTGCCCCAGGAGGCATGGACACTGGATGACAATGGGGGCTCCCTAGCATCTTCTCCATCCCAGCTAAGAGACAGCAACTGCCACACCCCCTTTTTCCCCCTTCCAGTCCCACAATTCCACCTCCCACTTCTCAGATTAAAAGAGAATCTTGACACCAGCCTAACCTACCTGAGGAGCTACAACCTTTAGTAAGGTGTGTCTTGTAGTCAAGGTGCTTCTTTGTGTAAGTAAGCCGTTACTTTCTCTGAACCATTATCCTTCAGGTGCAACACCCCTAACCCCTTACACTGTGAAGAGAAGCTCCTAAGAGTATTCATTAATTTCAGGCTATGATGGGCTCTCTGTGGGTTCTGCACTGGTGGATTTACCCATCCTGGTGGAAAATATTTGGGGAAAAAATTACATCTGCACTGAACATGTACAGACATTTTTCTTGTCATTATTCCTTAAATAATACAATGTAACAATGATTTGTATGGCATTTACATTGTATTAGGTATTATATGTTATGTAGAGATGGTTCAAAGAATATTTTATATAACAGGCATGGTAACCTGTAGATTTTGGCACCTGTGGGGAGTCCTAAAACCATCCCCTGTGGTTGGATGACTGTATAATGTACCAGATGCATGCCCTGGAACTTGTGACATAAAGCTTTCTTAAAATACTCAAACAAAAATTAGGTTAATAAAACCTAAGATGCTCAGCCACCTAAATAGCATTTCTTCCTACCTTTGGTTGTTGGTTCCATGAAAAAGCACTTCCATGTGTGATCACTACACAAAATGGGACGACAAGCTTCCATTCTCAGTAGCCCTGTTGTCTCAGAGGCCATGCTTCTCTCCTGCCTTGACACCTTTCTCTCTGCAACACTTGCCAGTACCAGGAGCAGCTCTTCTCAAAGAGTAGCAGTGTCAGGGCTTCTTGGCTCCAGCATGTGAAGTGCTCTAACTCCCCCTTATCTAATTCACACTGCACATCATGGACTCCAGGGGAGGCATACAGAGACAGACAGGAGGCCTTTTTCTTGTTCACTTCATTTACCACCATGACAGTGGTGTACAGCAGAAAGTAAATACTGTACAACTCCATTAAAACGTTTAATCTACCCTGGGTAGGAGTTAAGTCCCCACATTAAGTGCCTCCCATAAAGCATGGCAGTGAAGGAAAGAGCTCTCTCTACCCCACACAAATGATGCATGGGGAGCCTCCTATCAGGAACAGCCAAACAGGGTCACTTTAAAAGAGGTTATGGTTGGAAAGGCTTGGGTAAGAGTATTCTGATATCCTCGCCATCTCTCCTAAGCAACGAAACCACGGGTAGCAATAAGGAAGGAGGATGGAAAAGGGTGTGATTCTTATTAAGAACAGGCCAATAAGGCTGTGTGTGTAGCTCAGTTGTGGAGCACTTGCCTAGCATGTGCAAGGCCTTTGATTCTCTCTCTGGCACTGTCAAAACAACCAAAAATCAACACCCAAAACAGACCAAGAGCAGGGTTTTTGGGGCTGGACTTTTGCTGAGATGAGATACGATGGGCTGATGATTGATGTCTCTGGTTACCACATGGGTTTAAATAATCAGCAAGAAGTGGGCAAAAAGGTTTTTCTGATTCAAGAAAATGTATTTTTAGTGCACACTGAATCTGACAATTCTCAACTCACTTCCAAACCAATCTACTGAGCTGAAGAAAGAGAAGTGAAATGAAATTCTGATATATATAATCTACTTAAAAAATTGACAGAAGAATAGTTTCAGATGTTTTTTATTCAAAGGTTCTCAAAAGAAATAAAACAGAAAAAGCTAACAATCTGATCAAATGTACAGTTCAAAAATGTCTTTTGGCGTTTAACAAGTCCTAGGAAAGAAAACTACAGAGTTATCTTGAACCGGACAAATAAGTTACCACTGGCAAGTTTGTGGCACTAGTAAAACAAAAATAAAAAATTAACTCTCTTGATCATATAGATATCTCTATGAAAATCTTTTTTTCAATCTGTACAAAAGGTCTTTCTTCATAAATTAATTTTTTTTTATAATTTAATGGCTGTCTACTATGTGGTGTTTAACTGATTTTTTTTTTTTTTTATGTACAGAGGTTATGTTTCCCAAATCTTACCCAGACGAGTATGGCACTTAGTTCAGACATTTCTAGCAGCAGATTTCCCCTCCCCTTCTAACTGAGCTATCAAATTTCTGTCTTAACTAATGCAAAAAATATCAAGTAGTGAGAGACCCACGTACTAGGTACACGGAGGGTGCTGCGTTCGGTCTGGACTTTCACAAAGCAGTAATATTTCAGGGAGCGTAGAACCAATAATACCACAACTTTAAAAAAAGGAAACAAAAACAAAAAACAAAAACACGTTTCTCTTATGACTATGTAATTTTCACTAGAATCTACACTTCTCAGAGCAGCAAGGACTTTTGAAACTATGAAATGTCACTGACATCTATAATCAAATACAAGCAATAAAATTTAAGAACTAAAAAATACTTGAAAGAAATAACTGCTTAGCCCTAGCTCCTGAGCTAGGAGGATTTGGTCTGTGGGAACAGGGAGGGCCAGCAACCTGTCCCAGCACAAAAGAAAATAGACTCTGAGGTAGATAACTGATCATACACAGCTGACCAGACAAGTACACAGTTTTGGAAGACAACTTAATTTATCATTGCTTTTAAAACATATGCGACTGCCTCAATAAAAGAGCTTTAATTACAGTGAATTATCTCATAGATAATAAAGTAGAAATAACTGTGTATTTATTAATCAGGAATTTCATAGTTTCAAAATGGATTTTCTTTACACTTGAACACTTGTAGTGATGATGTAAAAGTGTGGCACTGCTTGGATCCAAATCTTCCTTCATGCTTTTTTGTTTGTCTGTGTGTGTCCATACATCAATTAAAATTATAAAACCTAAATGCGAAGGTACAAAAAAGGCACATTCTCCTAACCGCAAACTGGTCCGGCAAAAATAAAGAGCACAGAAGATGTGATGCTGAGACAAGTTGGAGCTACTGGTTACTGGCTCTTCGGTCTTTGGTGAAGTTACCATTAAAAGTGCCAAGTCATTTTTATTTTTCAAATTTACCTAATAGAGAGAGAGAGAGAGAGAGAGAGAGAGAGAGAGCGAGTAGCCAATCATTTTGCTTCTATCCGTATCTCAGCTTATGCTGGAAGAGAAAGCCTTACTTTTAGCTTTTGCCATTTAGTTGCAATAGCAACATTTTTTTTTTTTTTTTAGGTTTGCCAGATCGCAGGCATAATTCTCATTCTAAAGCACTATCATTAGTGTAAAGGAAGGACAAAACATTCGGTGACTCCCCTCCCCCGCCCCCCACCCAGTCCCAATGCTACCTACACTAAATCTAGAACATCAAGTTAGGTTTTTTTTTTTTTTTCCTGAAAAAAGGCAAAAAAGACTTTACATTGCATCACACAGCAGATATCCTAAAGCAGCCAAACTATCAGAGGAAACTGTTGGCGTACAGCCTTACAAACAATTTACCCTATTAAAAGTTCCCCAGTCAGAAAATGTGTTTCACACAAAACATTTTCCCTTCTTGCATTTCACTACCTTACACATCATGTGAAAAATCATTAAAAACACCTACTACATATTTAAAAAAGCCAAAATTTCAGCAACTTTTATTGACTACCTTTTAAAAGCCCTATGCTGCTGTTTTACAAGGCATAATAGACCAGCTCATTTGGTCAAAGCATTCTACATCATTAGTTTGAACTAACTTTTACTGAAACAGCTACAGCATCAAAAGAGTTAAGGCAAATTGGAATTCATAGAAAAAGGATAAGACACTTCACACTACGTTGAAAGAAAAACGGAAAGCTAAGAAAAGACACTGACGGCAACACTGAATTACAGCAACACTCGCACGGCCAGCACAGAACACCATGGGTGAAGTCGGACGATTGAAACTTCAGAAAGCCCATTTCATACAGCTGAAAAAAACACAAATTGAACACAAAATGAACAAAACCACAAAAATCCGGTCATGCACTTGGATAAGTCTTCGTGGTCTTTGTGCATACCCAGAAAATTGAAGTTTTCTTTTTTTTTCTTTTTTGCATCATAACATTTGATAAAAATCTTTTTGCTTTTTTTTTTGTTTTTTTTTCTTTCTGTTTTTTACTAAAATAAACCTGTTCAGGGGAACAGCTACTAGATGAATTTAAGGGTTTTATGCACCTCATAGAACTTATAGCAAAAATAGTTTTAGTTGATTTCATTATAAATAACGTTTTCAAGAACCTGTGCAAAACTGTCAATAATTTCCTAAAGCACAATTGATCAGAAAAATCCATGATTGTTCAGCCTTCACACCCTTCTTCGTGTAAGAACACCCTCCTGTATACCTGGAAGAGAAAGATAAAGGGCTTTTATAGATTCAGTATGACACACCACAGAGAGCTGTAATCTCTTTCTTGTTTTAAAGAGATATGTGTTTGAGGAAGGCTGTGCTCATCACAGTGGGAGACTGAGAGGTGTGCTCCCTGGAACTGAGGGTCACTTTCAGTGCTTTGAGTCTGCCTTTCAAACCCGGGACTTGCAAAATACTTTCTTTTTTGAGGGAATCAGAGCCAAATTCAGGTGGGTCTCCAAAGATGAAGGCTAACTTTATGAGATCAACAATACCTGACATTCTGTGACATTATATATTTTTTGTTTGGGAGGAGTGTAAAGATATATTTGACTTCAATAATATTTTATGATTTTTGAATAGAATGGTCAATCTACAAATTCACAAAATCATTGATTTTTAACATTTCAATAAGATTGGTTGCCTTGGCCATGATTAAGACAATATGATCAAATCTAAGTTATCCTAGGCATCATTTTGATTAAAAAAAAACCCAAAATGTCAAACCATAGACTTTGCTTGATTTGAGCCCCACGGTTATGGAGGCCTTTCCCTCGTACCTCAGTTACTTATTAGGTTGAAAGGTGTATGGAGAATGGTCACTGGACGCCTCTACAGCCACCTGCTGCTGACCACTTGCTTCCTACAACAAAACAGAATGCATAAGACATGTTAGCAATAAGAGCCAAACTCTGCCTGAGTCCGAGGGCATACGCTTTAAACGCAAGTACTCTTTACATTTTTATAATGCTGTGTACAGCTTTTAATGCTAATCATTCCCCAAATGTCTGATAGAACCACACAGCCTCCTCTCCAAAAGTGTGGCATGTTGATTCTTATCAAGCTATAATTTATCAAACTATCTCTTAACCTCTTATTTCCTGGAGCCAGATGTGGTGTGGATCTGAGACATGGTCTAGATATGCTGTATTTCATGTAACACCCCCAGTAGGGTCTAGGGCTGTTATTTTATAATCACACATCAATAGTTCTACAGTGAAAGGCATGATTAAGCACAGTAAGAGGGCTTTGCCAAAGGTCAGGTTTTGTGCTAAAGAGAAATTTTAGTTGCAAAATTTTTGGAGGGCCTCAGAATTACAGATAAGGATTCATGGTAATTGTGGTTGTCCAAATTTGCACAATCAGAAGCAATAATGAAAAGACATATTTCTATGATTCTTCCTGGAAAAGGAACCTTTGGGGTCAGATCAATGGGAATGATGAATTTCACTGGAATTTTAAGGGTGCTTTGCAGGAAAATGCTATGCTTCCTGACCAATCATAATTCAGATGTCAGACTGTTCCATACCAGTATCTTCCAAAACAAGAATAAGAGTATTTAGCTATACCAACAGCCTCTATAAACAGGTATGGTTTCTTTCTCATCCCCATTACACTTGTGAAATATCAGTTCTTTCTCATCAAGTAGCTGAATTATAATTGGTTTCTTTTTGACATTCTTTTTATTTTGCGATACTGGGGCTTGAACTCAGGGCCTTCACCTTGAGCCACTCTACCAGCTCTTTTTTGTGATGGGTGTTTTTGAGACAGGGACTTGTGAACTATTTGCCTGGGCTGGCTTCAAACTGCGAATCCTCCTGATCTGTGCCTCCTGGGTAGTTAGGATTACAGGTGTGAGCCACCTGCACCCCAGCTCTTTATATCATTCTTATTACTGATACAAGCTTTAGTATTAAGATTGCAAACTACAACTTTATCTTAATGTGCCTGTAAATATTATTTTTAGGGGTGAGGAGACAGAGACTTGAGGGGCTATGAAATATGTTACAAGCTTAGAAAATACTTCTGGGAATCTTGGGGATGGGCTCTGGATGTTGTTACCCTAACTTATTTAGAGATACGTAGAGCAGGGACATGGCTCAAGTGGCAGAATGTCTGCCTGGCAAGCATGAGGTCCTGAGTTCAAATCCCAGTACACTCCCCACTGCCAAATTATAATTTATAGTTGAAAATAATATCTTCTAAGTGCATACTCCCTCTAAATTCAATTCTTTATGCAAATGTTTGACTTCTGCTAGATTTTGCTTTGATTTGTATGAATTCACAAGCTGAATTTCTGAAGCTACCCACTGCCAGAATGGCCGCTGGATGCTGTGTACCAACCTCAACAGGAACGGCTGTCGTCTGCAGGTGTGTGTACTGTGGCAAGTAGGCTCCCTGCATGGCTGACGTTGCAGGCATGTACTGAAAAGAAGAAGGAGGTCAGGAGGGGCAGTGGTAAGCCATGCAAAATGTGGAGTACTTGCGGAATTTAGAGATGGATTAAAGTATTTGGCAGTCTCTAAGAAGAAACTTGAATGGGCTACCCTCAAAGCTTAACTAGTGTATGCAAACGTGCATACGAAAGGCAAGTCAATGTTTTCAACTTTTTCAATTTGTCAAACTAAAGTTCTTTGAATTTCCTAACAAAAAAGCACATGGGTGAAGGTCATTAAAGTTTCATACATGTTAATTCCCTATCACTAATCTGTTATTTCAGAAGATCTCTTCTCAGAAGATCAAGTTATTTTCTGGAAGCTCCCTGAGTTGGAGACCAAAGGATGACTGACTTGTTAGATCTTTAATGGGTCACTGCAGATGCAGGTAGGGAGCCCTGCTTTCCTGATGCTGACAACTCCATTTCCCAAAGGTAGGAGGAATTTCTAGTTGATCTCAGTGTTGTGTATGACCCTGGCTAGTCTTCATAAGATGTGGATGCTGGTTTTCAGTTTAAGAGGGGAAAATGCACCGCCTTTTGCTCTTTAAAGCTACCATAAACACAGGCCCTCTCTTATAATCTAAACTGTAAGCACACCAATCTAGAAGTTAATCTCATTACCAGCCCAACCCATTACCCACCCAGTCCTCTGGACTCTGGTCAAATCAGTCACCATGAAGATTTAGTGATCCCAAATTCCATAAAAAAAGAAATAAGTAAGGAACCATATTCTGCCTTTCCTACCACGTGTCACCTTCATCTTTTACGTCAAGATACCTGTGTTTCCTGACACTGGTTATAAAAGCTAGATGTGGGGATGTGTAGGTGATATATTTTGGCAAAGGACAGAAACCCAGAAAATAAACTTTCAATTCATCAACTAATCAAAAAATATCTGAGTATCTACTTTGTGGGAAGGAATCAGATGCAATCTTTGTCATCCCTGAGCCTGTGATTTGATAGGGAAGATGCAGGCTACATTAATTTATGCTCCTCTATTTTGCCACCTACTGTTCCGGTGCTGCCTAGGGAAAGATGACTCATCTGCTGGGCCAGGGGGCTAATCATAGACGCAGGCTGTAGTGACATGGTGTGTTCCATCGAGGGAGTTAACACGGCACCCTGGGGAGGTGAGACAAGAGCAACATAAGACAAGCAGAGGGAGACTTAAGAATTTGCAGTTACTTTTTACAAAGGAAATCACCTTTGTTAAGGAATTCGAAGCAAAAATAACCTCCCTTTATGATACCATGAACAATTTCCTAAAATCTTCCAGATTGTTTTTCCTGAGACTTTTGTAAGAGTGTGAGGGGAAATGGTATTTCCATGGAAATCCCTGTATTAAACTTAATTGTGAAGACAGCTTGTCCAGCAGGAGGAGCTGTAACAGGAAACAAACTGATGATTGTTCGCTGGCTGTTTGAGGGTTACAAAATGCTTTCTTAAAAGACAGTTGATGTTTTCTGTACCACAAAACAATATGGCCAATATAGAGATTTGTTTAGAAATACTCTGTACAGTCATTTGGTTCAAGAAGAAGATGTTACGATCAGGAGCACATTCCTCATTCACGGGGTATCTCTCAGAACCTTGCTATTTGGGTGGCATGGGAGGAGTGCCAATTCAGATAGAACTAATAATTCCATTCCAATCCTATGTCCTCTTATTTCATTTGAAAAAATGTTGGCCATTAAAGATATAATTAAATGTACTTGAGAAAACAGAGAGGAAAATAAAAAACAAAACTACCCACTATCCAGTCCCTCTGATAGAACCACTTAGCAGTGTCAGGTTCAGCTGCTGGAATTCTGCTTCTGCATGTTACCTCATAGTTGCAACCAAAGAACATGAAAACATCTCAGATTTTAGGGGTTTATTTTTAATTTAGGATTCTATTATGGGCATTGAATAACTTACTGATAGTTGTCATTGTCATTTTTAATGGTCACAGCATGGTACATTGTATAAACCACAACTTAATCAACTGTGCTTGCATTTTTGAATTGTCTAATTTTTGCTACATCATAATCTATGGACTTTACCACTCCTTTCACTTCTGCAAGCATTTTAACACGCCCCATACATGTTTGTGTATGTTTGCTATCACTGCAGCTGATATCCCTTAAATGCACTGTTATTTATTGATAATTAGAGACCTAGTCGAAGAGAGAAATAGGTTTGCAGGCAGTTTGAATCTGGATGGGGAAATGTAATTGATTCTCAGATGAACACACTCCTCACAGAGTTAAACTAAAATATGTGTATTCCTTGTCTCTAAAAATTGCCAAGAAGATAAAAAAGGGCACATTTCATTTTTAACGTATATCATCAGAAAGAATAGAGTAACATAAAAATGAGTCAGAAGCTCAGAAGATGGGGAAGGAGTTTCCTGATCCTTCTCTCATTCATTGGCACCATCTGTAGGAGGTACTATATTAGGAAGTCCCCAAATTAAAAGCATTTGATTTCCAGCATTCCAAAATTGGGTAGCATGAAGTTATCATCAGGGACACAGATGGCTGGGGTATATGTGGACCAAATGACTATCTGTACAGAACATTTTAAAACACTACAGTGGTCATATTGTTTCGTTATGCATGTACGTGTGTGATGTGGGGATTTGTGGAAATGTCCGGGTATGTATGAATATAGATAAATGTGTACACATCACATAATATGCATACATTTATGCATCCTCAGAGAGCTTTTTTCCTGTGCCATCATTTAAATGTGTTTTATATGCTTCTTAGAGTGGTCATCTTGGCACTTTTTGTTCAGAACTTGTTACTGGATTGCTATTTCAGACACATGGTCTTACATTGCACAGTGTCTACTTTAGGTGAAATCATGAGGCACGTTCCTATCTCATATATGGCCAAGAGTTGAATTCTTTTCCTAGGCAGCCTATCTGTTTTTATCTGATAAATACTGCTCATAAGGATTCCCACTGTGGTTACTAGAAAGCTAAGGTCCAAATCTGTGGCAAGCATGTAGATGACTGTGGACAGTGGTTTTTTTCTTTATTCTTATTTTTCAACTTTTTAAACTTCTGTTTTAATTCAACAAACTAGATTTTATGTTTCTCTGAAAAACACATTAAATATAATAAGATGAAGTATAACTCATTTTAAAAGAAAGTAATACCATAAGTACATTAGAATAAATGCTCATCGCTGAAGAAATCAATTTGTTATTTACCAAATAATGCATTACTACTCTAGTGTTTATAATTTCCACAGAAAGCTAAATAACACTGACAAAAATCTCTACCTTTGTCTTGAACTTTATGTTTGCATTAAACAACATAAAGTTTCATTCTAAGTACCTTCTATACCACCTTTGGCAAAGGGTTTTAACCCAGAGAGTATACAGACAGCGGAACAGAAAGCCAATTAAGATGAGAAACTTACAGGGTGCTGTAGGATATATGGTTGAGGCTGCATCCAAGAAGGACTTTGCACCTGGAAAAGAGAGGGTTTTCAAAGAAATATTGATTTCCACTGTAACAATTACCTAGTTCTCTAGAACTCTTTTAAATCATGTTAAAAATCTACAGAAGGAAAATAAGGAAACAATACTATCAATGATTAAAAGGATGAAGGCAGTTAGAGTTCTTGGTAAACTGGTCACTCCTAAAGGGACACAGTATTATTTAGAGCCAATTTCTATTTGCCCAGTCAATAAATATTACTGACTATCAGGCCCCAAAGAGAAAAAGGCGAAGAAGATATGAGCCCCACCCTCAAGAAATTTATTGTCTAAACAAGGGAGAGAAACATGTAAACAACTCAAATTAGTGGAAAGTGTTACACTCTAGGTATGAACTAGGTGTTTTGGGTGTACAGATGAATAAGGATTAGTTCTACCATATCTTATTAGAAATGAACCCTCTAAATATGTGCTTATTTAATAAGAATAACCAAATATAATCTCTTTGATAACCAGGATATTAAGTTTCAGCAAGCTTGTATGGTGGTCAATTTCTATGAGTGTGGAAATTACCTGAAATTCAGATTTTGGGAATAAACCTTGGTAACTAGATTTTGACATCTATAGTTAAAAGAGCATCCACACACAGACCCCCCAAACTGAGAAGTAAGATATGGGGGGGTCAGGCTTTGTGGCAGGAAAGAAAGTATGTGTAGTCTGCCACTCAAGAGGAGAGCCTATCACTCCATTTCTTAATGCCCAGGGCTTTCCACATCTATATAGTTTTAAAGTAAGTTTCAGTTTCCAGTTCTTAACAACAAAACCCTGCTGTACTCTAGCCCCTAGTGTTAATGTCAGAGATTCTACAGAGAGGACATGGGAAGAGTTGTGGGGAAGAATGCATTGTGATTTACCTTGATAGCAGAGCCCCGATACTTGTTTTCTCTGGTTTCCTTTGCCACCTAAGGCAGACCAAAGTTAAGTGCTTCTGCCTTGTTAACATGTCAGTTATCTGGACCGTAGCCTTTCCCCAGTGGGGTATCGGTGGTTTCCTGCACATGCTCGTTTCTCAAATCCAACTGCATAAGCATATGGTGGTTTAGTAGAGAAAGGCCCCCTCCATCATGAGTGAAAGGCCCTCACTAGCAACACCACGGGGAGGCAGGCAGTTCCTTAGGGACCCCAAGCTGGGCCAGATGCCCCCATTTTTATGTGCATCAGTGATCTTAATAGTTAATTGCTATAGTACTAGGGGGTTAGGAAGCTGTGACATCTAACTCATTTTTTCCCCATAAGCAGCAAATGAGCAACTGTTAATTTCTATTCCTCAATGTTCCCTAATTATAAAATGAAAATAATAATCTGTGCTTTGTAAGCTCTTTACCTCTTCTGGGTCATGGATCCCTTTGAAAATCTGATGAAAGAAATAGTCCCCCCCCCCAACTAACTGTACACACACAAACAACATTTTGCAAACAATTTAAAGAGGATCACAGTTCACTTAAAGCTCAGCCACGACCCTACCTGATGGCACCGAGTATCAGGTAAATGGAATAAAATTCCATATGGATATGAGAAAAATACAGGATGCCCAGGAGAGGAAATTGGCCTTTGAAATGATATGTTGTTTCCATAGCCATATCAAATTGATTACCAACACTGGCCTCCTAATTTTATATTCTGTGAAATAAGTCTGAAATGCACACTAATTTTATATTAAAAAGGGAAAAAGAAGTAGAGAGATGGCTTAATAACTGAAATAGTTATAGCAACATAAGGTGAAGTTAATATGCAAATCTTTCATTTGCCTAAGAATAAGTTCATACTTGACCCTATTTTTGGTGATATTTATAAATGCCAGAGCATTCCATTCCAATTTCACATAGTTAAAGACTATCTTTTAACATCAGACATAGGAATTATTTGTTAGGGAAAGTGTACTAGAGCAGAGCTCATGGAGTCTTATAGAGGCAAGGAAAAGACAGAATCTTAAGTTCTAAACAATCAAAGAGGCATTAAATGAATGAATATTATACCTTGAAACACCAAAATAAGTAACATAATCCAGAGAGAGTAAGGAGAAGAAAATAAGTGACAATTCAGGGGAGGAGGATAAAAGAATCTAAAAGCCTAAGGAGGTTGTAAACACTACAACTTCAGTTTTAGTGCATACAATGACTCTCTCTGTTACTCAATACTATTTTTATATGTTAAAGACAGAAGCAGCTGATACTGGCTTATGATGACCAACCCATTATTGAAAAAGTACAATTAATATAATGATGATGATAATAACACAGCTATTAGATTATATATTGTAATCCCCTAACCCTCGAAATTGGGGCTACAACATGTAATCTTGTTTTAAAAACAAGAAGGCACAAAGTTTTAATTTTCATCACACAGAATCCCAACAATCCACAGAAGAGAATTCTCTTCCACCTTGTCAGTAACTGAACTGCATTAATTTATAATAAACCTCGTCTGGGCCGGACAGAGAGGCTCTGATGCAGGAGGAGAAAGTCATGTGTATCACTGAGTTCATGGACTAGCCCTGCAGTGTTATGACACAGTGCTTAATGAAAGCTATTTCTGAGTTGGGAATTTTTTTGAAGGTCAAGCCTCCTCACAAAATAACCTGAACAGGGAGTTGCTTCTTTTTTCCTTTTGGTGGGGAAGAACCCTCTAATCTCAACTACATCATTTAATGTTACCTAGTAGAGACACATCTTTGCCTGTTGGCATGTTTACTGTACTTTTACCAGTTTCTGCTGACAAATAAACAACAGCAAGTCTACCCACCTACTCTGTATTTCACTTGATGGACATTTTCTTAATTTTCAATTCTGGGGACACATGATATCCAAAAGCAGGGCCCACCATGGTAGAGGAAGCGTATAGGTTTATCTCAATTCTAAGGTGTGAGGATGCCAAGGACTGACATTGGACAACCATTTTCCTGGCTTTACATTTTCCTATACGTGAAAGCCAAATAACTTCTCTGCCAAATAAAAAGCAGCTTATTCTAAACTGGGTATCCAAGCTGCATAAAATTTGACTTAAATTTCATTATAAAATGTTGAGAATTTTAAGACACATAAAAAGCAGCAGAGATTCACAGTGCACAAGTTGTCATGCTGCTGATAAATCCTAAAGGTACAAACCTGGTAGGCAGATACAGGAGATGCAATATAGGGTGTAAGAGAAGTTTGAGTGATCATTCGGTTTGTAGCAATACTGTATGGTGAAGGATAAAATCTAGAACAAACACAAAAGCCTTTATTAAGTAATCCTTTCAATGGAATAATTCATGGAACAAATGTCTGATATTTTCCACCTTCATTTTCCCTCAAGCCATTATACATTTATCTTAATGACATACCCATTCTGTATAGCAGCTGTAGTTGGGTCGTAAGTGAGTGTCATTCCAGCCTACAGGAAGGAGAAGGAAACATGAACATGCATCTGGAAAGAAAGGATTCTACAACTCCATTTTTCAGAGTCGCTGCAGCTGAAGACAGTAATAGTTGTATTTGATAAAACTGGGAGTTTTCTGTCAGCCAAACATAATTGTAAGCTCAGTAAGAGAATTAAGCCCTAAACCTGTGTTGTCTCACATGGTAACTATTAGATACAAGAGCTGTTGAAAATTAAGTAGGAAATTCAATCCCTGCATGAAATAGCTATGTTTCAAGTGTTCAGATGGCCACATGTGACATCTGATTGTCAATGGACAGTACAGATTCTAGAACACTTTCTTCAGACATTCTTGAGCCTATGTGTTTGTTTTTTTTAAATATAACTCATTGAAAATATAGGAAAGTGCAGGGTCAATATTTTAAGAAACTGAAGGTTTTTTTTTTTTTTTAAAGAAAGCTATTTTAAGAATGAAACTAAAAAACCAAAAACAAAAAACACAAAAAACCAAAAAACCTGCCTGTGACAAATATGTTGTTTCTTTTAATGATATTTATGCTGCTGAATATTTTAAGAGTATATCTAAACCATGAAACAAAACCAAAAACAAACTCCAAAATACTCTTGCATTTTCATAGGAATTTTTTACTTATGTGTAGCTAACTGGTGACCATAACTGTTTCCAATATCCATGTGTCTATCTGACAACACTCATTCTTTAGCACCATAAACACTGGGAAGAGTTTTATCCTGATACTATCTGAATTATAATATTCCAGTGGGAAGGTTTCAGAAGTGTGGCAGTCAAGTCAAGATGCCTTTTGTGTAACTTTTCCTGAGAGATTTCATGATCGTACACACCCACACTGAAGTTTCAAGAAAGGACTTACAAGTCTCACCTCTCCTTCTCTATGCCATGGTCTTCCATTAGGGATGTATTTGTTTGGATTCTGTCTTTTCTTCTGTCCTCCATCTGCAAACTTGCACAATAAAGGTTCTGTAGGAGCTGAGTAATCAGGAAAAAATAATATGAAGTCACAATTATGTGTGTGTGCAGATGACACTGTTAGTGCTGTAACAGGATACTTTAAGGCAATGTTTACTCAGACCCTTATAAAATTATCCACTGGTGAAAAACACAGTGCAGAACAATACTCCAAACCAGAGTGAACATATAAAAGACCCATCCTTTGCTGAAAAAGCAAAGGACTCTTATTCACCTTGGGGCATTTTACACTTCTTTTCATTCTGGGCCCTCTATAATTCCACCCCTAGAGAGTCACCAAAATAATCCTGAAAAGAAGATAGGATTGTGCCATCTTTCTCTTTCCCAACTTAAAATGCTATTGTAGCTTTCCAGAGAGACTGCTACTTCTCCCAGTAGACTAGAGCAACCCCCCCTTTTATTGCTTACACCATATTTTTATTACAACATTTATTGCTAGTGCAGCTGCTATCTGTTCCTCCTTGTCTGTTTCATCATCACTGCAGTCCCAGTGCCTAAGGAACTGGCATTTTGTAGGTGCTTTTTATAGTTTGGTTGAATCAATGATAGGTTTCACTTGTTTGAGGACACAGTAGTGAAGACAGCTATTGTGACAAAGCTGCAAACACCTTCCCATCCTATTTAAAGGTTTTTCTGTGCCGTATAGCCCCCAATAGGTCTTGCTTTACTATTTACCCATCTTAAAATGTTCCAAAGAAAAACCCAAGAAACAAACATAGAAAAGCAAAAGATGCAGGAACTCACTTCAGGAATATAAGTTCATTAGAATTAAGGTTAAATGAAAAGGCCCAAGTAGCACAATAGGCCATCCATACTTTCCCTTTTTGTTTTTTGCCTTTCAATTATGGAAGTAGCAGTATGTTTCTGGAGGTAGTGTATTTTTCTGTATGTTTCTAGTTAATGTAATAAAGGCACACACACCTTCCTGTCTGGTTCCCACATTCGGTCCTTTGTCTACTGTAGAACCATGATTACTACTTTCAAGTTCTGTTTCAAAGTTAAATAACCATGAAGAGAAAAATATCACTTATGGAAAATTTACTCCTTTCTCTTTTGCCTCTTATTACCCTAATTCACCTCTTATTTTCTATTGCTATTATCCACCCACTAATGACAGGGTGGAAGCAATAGTGTCTCTTAACACTTCTCTGCCAAAAAACCAAAACACAACATGGAATTGTAATTCCTTCTTGGTGAGCTGTCTAGGCTGTTGTCAGCGATGCTTTTTTTTCTCCCCTGGGTGAGCCACTTCAGAGGATTGGGCTGGAACAGGAGTCACTTCTGAATGGGTATGCTATGGTTTGTATGTGGTTCATCCCCTGATGGTTTCTGTACTGGAAGCATGGTCCCCCCAGTGTGAGATGTTAAGAGGTGGGGCCTAGTGGAAGGTCCTTAGGTCACTGGGGAGCATGACTACAGAAGGAATGAAGGTAGTTTACATGAGATCCTGAGTTCTCACAAGAGTGAGCCCAATCCTTGAGAACTGTTCTCCAGCCTTGTCTTACAGTATCCTACATGTCACCTGTCATGTGGTTCTCACCAGAGCCACACTGCTGGTGGTAACATATCCTTGAACTTCCAGAACTGTGAGCTAACTAAGTAAGTTTCTTTTCTTTATAATGTTACACAAACTTGGGTATTTTGTTATAGCAATGAAAAAAATGGGCTAATAGAAGACTACTAGGAGTTAGGAAGAAAATGTAGGTGTCTGGTGAGAGTATTCATGAGCACTGGCCCTACTACTTACCAAGTGTCCCTTTGTTTACCTTCTGACTCCAGCCCAACTTCAGGCTTCCCTGAATAAGGAACTTCTATCTAAGGCAAACTGGGTATGATGGAAGATGGACTAGAGCCAAATCCTGGCATGTCATTGAGCTATACTACTTGTCTTTTCAAAAAAAGGTGCTGACTTGGAAATTTCTAACTTCACCAATAATTACAGAAGGTAAATAAACAGATGCAATGCAGCAAGGAAGCTTTCTAATCTTTGCTGGTCCTTTTAATTCTACAACTGAACCATTAAAATTCAAACGGAAACTAGGGCAGAGAACACAGCATCCAAGCAGAAGGAGCAGATAATGGACAAGCCCTTCTGAGAGTAAGGACTTATTACACCTGGAATTCTTGTAAGTTACTCACCTTTGTAGGTAACCAAAAAAAAAAAAAAAAAAAATCCTCCCAATCTCCAGGGTCCACATGTAGCAAGCACATGTGCACGCCTGGAAGGAGCTGGCGGGGGTGGGAGTGGGGGAAGCCCTATCTGGGCAATTAAGGACAAATCAAGAGCTCAAATGAAGAAAGGCAAGATCTCACTTTCCACAGATCTAGAAGCATCCCAATAATATCGAGCACTGTGTTCTCCACTGATATTTGAACGTGTAAGATTTTGTCTCTCCTTAATTTTGCTGGGCAAGAGAGTTTAATAAACCCCGTGTCTCCACTGTGAGGACACACTTAATCTATAGGGTTTATAAAAACTACCTACTAGATTGATTTTTTTCTTTTAAACTTTATTTGGCTCAGTGAGTGATACTACTTTCCTCCTTTAGGATAACTCTTTCCAGAGAACGAAAGTGACAAGGTTGGATTCATTATGGAAGTTCACCTCAGACTGCCTAGGGAGGCAGTTAAGATCCTGGTATTCGCTGAAGCTCAACATTTGTTGAATGGCCAAGTGTCCCTATCTGGGGATGATGTGTTTCCAATACATGTTCATTTATCTAGACTCTGCCCTGTCAGAGAAAAAGAAATCCCAGGTGACAAGAGAACCTGCTAAAAATGTACAGTGATGGAGTGAACATCAGGTGAGTGATGGCATGTTTGCAAATACATAATTTAAAATGAAGCAAATGGAACAGGATATAGTTGAATCTTTCAAAATCAATATATTTACTACATCGTTTGGTGCTGTCATTAAGATTTTTTTTTCTTCTAGAAGCAAAAAAACCCTGTTAGAATAGTGTGTGTACTATGAAGGTGTTCTTTATCATAGACAAATCAGTTTCTTATTTTAAAGAGTTGTAACCAGTAGAAATGAGTTTTTAAAAAACAGTTGCTAGCTCTTTGTTTCAGAGGCAGAGGGTGGCCATAGTTTACATGAAACAACATAAAATTCTAACAGTTTCTTTCCTTTAGCAGAATTCTCTTTGGATTATTTGTCAGTCAAAATGTCTGAGTATCTATACCATGCACAAGAGCTAGCTATGCAATGGTGGATAGATGACAGTCCTTGCCTCCACGGGTTTGTAGTTAAATGATGGGAATGTACCCCATCTTATGAAAACCTACTCAGTCATTTATAGGACAGAGCACTGCTTTTCAGATTATTTGTTTTAATAAAAATGCTGCACAGAAGCAAAATACCGATAGAGGAATAGCTATCTCTTTTCTTTTACAGCTACTGCTCCATTAATTTGGAAGGCGTTATGAGAGAGCCTATAAAAGTAAGTTCTCAATGTTTTATTTATCACAAAGATTGGTCATGTGCTCCTGGAAAGCAAACTATGTGATGACTTAAGAAACTTCCAGATATTTCAAGGGGTAAAATTATCCTGGTGCTAAGCAAAGGTCAGATGATTTCAATTAGATTTTTGTGTAGAAGAAATAAACATCCACATCTGACCCATTTGTGTTTGTGTGTGTGTGTGTGTGTGTGTGTGTATGTGTGTGTGTGTGTGTGTACACGTCTTTCAAAATGAGAGATCCCAATTTAAATGGCTTTTCTCATGGCATACTCCAAACCGGGGGTGGGGGGTGTGTTGGTCCCTAGTTTGTCTTTGGGAGTCTAATTCACAGGCTCCAGGCTGAGAATAAGGAGACCCTGTGTGATGCTGGCTTGTTCTATTGCACAGAGTCTTCTGCTGATCTCCTTGATTGTGTTTTAAAAGTGAAATGCTGAGGTAGAAAAGGAAGTGCCAGAAATACTAGTAATATGGCTAAAGCAGTAGCTGAACTTGCATATATTAACTTTACAAAATTATGACATAACAATCTTCTACATGATTTTTCTAGATTAGCAAGTCTTTGCAATTACTGTTTTACACAAGGTAGAGTTCAAATATGTGATTTGCAATTGAAGATATATTCTTGTATTAAAAGTGATATAAAAGTTATATAAATGACCCCAAACCAATTTTTCCAAATCTAAGGGTGTTCTGGGCTGGCTTTCTCTCTAATAAGGAGATCTATCAGTTCAATCCTCTTCCTCATTGTCCCATCTGGAAACGCTATTTTCTCATTTATCAGAACCCATAGGAACATTACTCCTGAAGCCTGATATTGCGGTGCTGCCTTGAGCAAACACTGCGACATCATACGCCATGGATGCAAACACTGACTGAATATTGTGGGTACCTTTGAGAACCATCTAAAGCACTGCCATTACTGGATTCTCTAATGTGTCCTCAATGGAACATGAGAGGGGATGCTGTTTTACAAATGTCTCATTATGGAGTACTGACATGCTCCACTGTGACAGCTGGAGCCATATGGTGATGCCCACAGTGACTTACTGCGTCTCTCCACGAGGTATTTCCTTACCTGGTTTCTGAAGCTCAGACTCTATAGTGATGTGGGTTCAAGGCCACATACCCCAAATCACTTCTAGTATACCTGCTGTGAATAACAGCACCACGTCTACCTTGCTTACCTAACCTAAATGGCCTCAAGGACTCAGAGTGCTGCAGTTTGTAGCAGAATGGCTCTTCTCCTCAGAGCATCCTAAGCAAGGTCTTCATGTTCGTTCATCAAACGCCAACAGCAGTAACAGCTGGAGAGACCACTCCTTCTAAATTACCATTTTTCTATTTATGTGGTGTTTTAGCTTTTCCATCAACTTTGAAAGACCAGTCTACTCAGCAGTCATAATTAGCTTCCTTTCTGGTAATGTTGTCTAGGTTAAAAATGGCTCAATGAACAACATGTAAGGATCTACCTGGGACTTTGCTTTTTAAATATTTTGACATAAGGATCCAATAAGTAAAATTCATTTTTTGTGTGAA